GAAGATCGTGTGAGAAAGAAATGAAAGCTAATGGGCAATCGTGCAGCCAACTAGAAAGGACTGTTGAGAAAACAATGAAATGGAAATGTGCTGCAGAAGTCCCATGTTCTAACCAAAACCCAAGAAAATACTAATAACAAAATAATAATGAATGACTTTAGCTCATTCTGTTTAGTTGGATCTATTTGTGAGATGTCTGTTTTTAGAAATTTCTTACCGACAGAATGAGAGAATGCTTATCAATGTGATCCAATTGGTTTGGAAACTGTGTCTGGGTGTATCACAACAAAGATTTTTATCATGAAGAAAAGTGCATGGTTTACCGAATCAACTGTCAAGGTAAACCTTGGCACACAATTGAAGCAGTTCACTTTTCCATACCTTAGAAGGCACACATAAAGGCAAATAAATCACAATAAAGGACGATTTGCAGAAGAAGGAACAATCATGTGCTGAGAATTATCAAACAGCCGCTGCAGTGTATACAATTTTTGAACAAAGCAAGAACTACAGTTTTGCAGAATAAAGTGGCACCATCATTTATTTCGTTGCCTACTCATCAGCTGCTCAGAAGCCAAAGACATTATCAAATGTATCTACAAAACAATTTTTATTTATTTATTTTTTAATTTATTTTGATTGCAGCTTGATTCCACACTGTATTTTCAGTACAAGTATGGAATTTTCAGCACGGATATCGGTAGCCCAAATTTTGCAGGCCGACCATAGATATCGGGTGTGCGTCGGCAGGGGGTCGAACCCCGGACCATGTGCATGGTCGGCGAGAGTCCTAACCACTGTGCCAACGACGCCCATACTTGCACAGAGTTCATTTCAAACAAAAATCAATCGATCAACATATGCATACAGAGATGATAATATTAAACACTATTCCGCACAATACTGATCATACACAATGGAAACTTTCTGGCATTACGTATTCAGATGAAAGAGAGATGAAGATATCCAGTTACCATGCAGGGCAAAGAAAGACTGATAACCGCTTCTTTCTGAACGCATAAATCAGGTTTCGGGCTCTTGATGGAAATGGCTTCAGCAAACTTGAGGAGAATTGACCTCTTTTGCCTATTGATAATTTTGAACGATTTTGCGACGTCCACCTCATGACCCGTGTCAAGGAGATGCCTGGCGATGGCACTGTTTAAATCATTTGTTCCATTTAAACATAATCTTCTTGGCACATGTTCAGAAAATGGTAGATATGCCCTTCTTTCTGTCCTTCCAATGTAACTCCTCCCGCAAATACATGCCCTGGTGACCGGATATTTTCATTTCTCCTTCATCTGAATACGTAATGCCGGAAAGTTTCCATTGTGTATGGTCATTATTGTTCGGAATAGTGTTTAATATTACATATATATATATGTATATATATACATTATTACTGTATGCATACATTGATCGATTGATTTTTCAAAAGAATGGATACTGAACAAAGAGTACTCTTTTCGATAACTTCATCATCAGGCTCTACAGTTATATATACACATTATAGTGAATGAATGAATTAGTGTTATGAACAACATTAATGTTGTTTAAATAACATCGAATCAATAATATTGATAGATTACAGCTGAACAGCATCAACATAAAATAAACTGAATGTCAGAAAAATTAGGAAAGATAATATTACAAATTCATGAATTTATAGTCTCTACTGAAGGCCGGCCAGGGCAGTAGTAGGGGCTGGCTGGACTTGCTTCTTTTGAACACAGAGCACTGGTTGTTTGAGGCGAATCGCAATAGCCTCTGCTGTTTGGAGCATGCGGTGCTTCGATGATTTTGGCAATTTATTAGGCACCCGGTAGATGATAGAGAAGGATTCTTCCACGCTGGCTTTGTGGCCGGTTTGCACCAGATGGTCCAATATCGAACTGTTAATGGTTTTAACTACACCTTTACTTAGCCATAGTGGGAGATGTTCTCGAGCTGGCACGAAAAATCAAGTTCCTAGAGCAACGGCCAATATAACTCGCTCCACCACAAGCGCAGTTGAATTGGTAGATACAATTTGAAGTGGCTAGTCTAGGTACTTCATCTTTCAGTCGAGGTAGCACCATCAGTCGTGTAGAGAATAATACGTGTAGTTCGCCAGCATTAAAAGTTCTTTGAACTGATTTTCTTAATTTCTTCGTAATTATCTCACTTGGTATATCGCCCTTGAATTGTAGTCGTATGCAAAGTGGCCTCTTGTTTACAGATAGTGAGTAGTCCTTTTCCGCCGCTTTCTTTGTCATGTGTTTCTTGATAAATTTGTCCGGATAGCTATTTTCAATCAAAGTATCATATACCATGCTTAATTCATCTTGAATTACTTCTTCTGAGCATACAGCTCTAACTCTGTGGCTGAGGGTCTTCACTAAATTTCTTTTGTACTTGATAGGAACGAAGCTGTGAAAATGTGTATATTGTCCTGTCCAAGTACTTTTTCTATGCAAATTTCTTTTTATGTTACCATCTGGTTTTGATTTTTGTTTAAAATGAACTCTGTGCAAGTATGTTAAAATTGTTTTTGTAGATACATTTAATAATGTCTTTGGCCTGTAAGCAGCTGACGAGAAGGCAACAAAATAAAAGATGGCACCACTTTATTCTGCAAAAACTGTAGTTCTTGCTTTGTTCAAATCCATTAAGAGAAATAAATATACAATTTTTATTTATATCACTAACAGTTTCCAGGCAATATTTTTGGCCATTTGGTGTACCACAACAAAGAGTCTACACTTCCCACGTGGCTCCAACTAACGGAAGAAGACTTTATGGATTGCTCTTATATTTTGTTCTTGTAACTTTAGTTGACATTCTTCAAAGAAGAGGAAGATATTCTGATTTGACACTAGTAACTAGGGTGATGCGTCTAGTCCTCTCTTTGGTGCAGACTGAATTCTATCAGCCAGGTTGTATTGTGACCACCATTCTAGGTACCTCGCCATCACGGTGTACATAGTTTGTGATGATATGAGATGGTTGGAGGCAATCGGACACAGGAAGCCTTGCTTGACCTAGGTTTCGTGCTAGTTGGCACTCGTCAGCAAGGCGCATCTGCAATCTTGAAGGAACTTATATCCCTTCTGAGATTCGAACCCGCGTCACCCAGTGCTGTAGTCAGATAGTTCAGCATGAACTCTATGAATGACTTCATCTTTGTGGTTATACTATTCTTTATTACTATTATCATTTAAATGTTCAATTCGGACCAGCGCGATTTATTATTATTATTGTTCCCTTGGGTTCCTAGCTTCAACTGCACGCCTCCACTTGCTTCTGTCTTCTTCTGTACTTTTCACCTGCATCCATGTCATTCCATACTGCTTCAGCTCCTCTTCACACGATCTCCTCCATGTCACTCTTGGACGTCCCACTCGCTGCTTCCCTTTCGGGTTCCACTCGAGCACTGGCCTGACGCGCGATGTCACCCAGCGGCCTCCTCCTCGGCGAGTGTCCAATCTATCTCCACTTTCTCCTGTATATTTGTTGAGTGATTGGTTCTTGTTTTGTTTGTTCCCATAGTTTCTTGTTGGTGATTCTTTCCGGCCATCTGATCTTCAGTATAGAGCAAAGACAGCTGTTGATAAACGTCTGCAACAGGCTGTTGGAAATATTCTTTCCAGATTGTTTTCAGGTTGATGAATGTCTTCCTCGCCTTCCCGATTCTCGATTTGATATCCTCGTCCGTTCCTCCTGTAGTTGAGACAATGCTCCCTAGATAAGTGAATGAAGTAACCTCTTTCAAATCCCTCCCGTTGATGATGATTAGCTCTGGATGTTGCTGCTGTTTTTGTTGTTGTTGTTGGTTGGTTATTTTCATAACCTCCGTCTTGTCTATGTTCACCTGGAGTCCTGTCTTCACCGGCTGCTTCTTCGACCAGTTTGTGGGTTTTCGCTTGTAAGTCTTCGATTATGTGTGACATCAAACATAAATCATCCGCGAAATCCAGGTCTTTTAGGCTCTTCACGTCGGTCAGAACAGGATATCCCTGTCTTCTCGTTTCCCACTGTCTGAAGCATAATCCAGTCCACCACAATTAGGAATATCATTGGTGAGAATAAGCACCCTTGTCTGACTCCTGTGTTTACTCCAAACGCCTCGCTGAGTTTTCTATTGTGGATCACTTGACATGTGCCGTGGTCGTGCAGCTGTTGAATGAGGTTGATGAATATTTGGGGCACGCCTTAGTACTTGAGTAGTTTCCAAATTACTTCGCGGTCAACGCTGTCGAAGGCCTTCTCAAAGTTTATAAGGTTGAGGTAGAGGTTTGATTACCATTCCATGCTTTGTTCGATGATGATGCGTAGAGTTGCAATTTGCTCAGAAAATGATTTACCTTTCCTGAATCCAGCTTGTTCTGGTCGAAGTTCTGTATCCAGTGCGTCCTTTATTCTATCCAAGATGATGCGACTCAGGATTTTAGGATATACTAAATAAATAAATGATTCTTCTCAACAAACATACATGAAGTTCGCCTAATATAGATCACATTTTACAAGCATAATTTTTATTAACCTGTTCGGCATTCATCAGTTTTAAAGGAGATAGACTATATAATAAAAACCTGTTGATTACACTAGTTGGGACATTTTCTCGGTTTTCACACACTAGATCACCGAATGAGGAAATAAGTATCTAAAATTGAAACGGAACATTACTTGGCAGCATATCTTAGTAGCAGCTAAGTAGTAGAATGCTCATCAAGCACCCACGGGAGGTCCAGGCTGAATTCTCGACCGACACACTCCTAAATTTCCCTTAGTTAACTATCCAGTAATAAACCCGAAAAGAGGAGGGACGGTTGGGCATGGGGTTAGCAGCCCCACTCAGAAAAATAAGAGGACAACCCCACCGCTACTGAAACTTCAAAGCATAAAGTCCTATGTTTAACTCAGAACGGTAGAAATGAAAATACATGATCTGGCAGCACGATAAGCATCAGTGTCAGCAAATAAATTAGAATCCCAGAAAATTAAGGTGGTCAACTTACCTGAATTAGTCAATTCATAGAACCAGGCATGATTGTTTATTCCAACAGCTAAGCATGTCTGTCCCATGCCAATAAATGTTGGTTCAATTTCAATCTTTAAAACGTATGAATCACGATATATCTCAGGTAAATTGTTTATCTGGAATCAACAAAAGAAAAGTAACACGAAACAATACACATATATAGATTTAACTAAGGAGTAAACAGTTATGACTTTTTGAAGTTAAAAAATATCTCGTACTTCTTCATTCTGAGGTTAACTCTGAAGATGCTGTCTAGAAAGATCATGAAAGCTGCTTTGAAATTCATCCATGTGTCTATGATAACACAATGACACCAATATCATCCATTAGAGCTACAAATCTTCTCTTTTATTTCCAAATTTCTTGTAAGTTGAAAACTCTTTGAAGTTCAAAAAGTAATTCAGTAGTCTATTACTCATATTTCAGCTGTAAATCAGTATTTCTAGCAAAGTATACATGACAAGTAGGCTTAACACAATGTTCAGTTTGATTTTTTTTCTGAAATGGCTCCAATAAACGACTTAATACGGTCGTCGTCGTCGTCGGTGGATCGACTTCGGTCTTCCTCTCAAAATCCCCTCATGCAGCCACACATGTTCATAGCCTCTGCCAGGTAAATCCTATTCAGTGACCTCAGGTGGAGTGGGTGTTCGCCACAAAAGTGAAAGGGTAAATACGAACGTTTGGCGCCTACAACCGAGCTTATAGACAATCGGCTCTATATAGGAGAATTGAAAATCCTTGATCCCAAACTTATTGCTTGCATAGGCTCCAGAATCCAAACCCGATTTGGTCACCGGCAACCATGGGAACTCAGCTTCTAGCGCTGTCTCACTGCCTTGTGTATCCGACTGAAAGTGAAAGGCTCACAGGAGGTTTGGTCCTTTAAGACAACCGCTTGTCTGGGGTGTTTCTATGGCTCTCATAATTGTTTGTGGTCGCAGAGTGAAGTGAAGATGGCTCACTAGCTTGAAGAATAGTGCTAACTGTTGTAGAGAAGCAAGATGAGGAAGGTGATGTGAGTAAGGGAGAGTGATGCTCAGGTAGGCTTCGTGTGCTTTCGGAAGTGTGTGGGCGGTTGTTACTTCCCGTCTGCCCACACTGTGGAAGTTGGTTGAGTCTTCGGGTACCTGAAATAGGGAAAAGGTTAGTGTTGCATGACCGCAGAGCCCAGGGGACAACTGCTTGATGCCGGTCACACGTGGCCTGCTTTTGTTCGTTCTTTTTTGTTTGGTGTGTCTGTAGTATATTCATCACTTCTGCCCTGTGACACGGCAGCAGGAAGCGCGGTCGTTGTTAATCCGGGCCCCGACCGATCCGGCATGATATTTTGTGAATTTGTTTGAATCATAGTATTGGACTGGGTAGCTGCATTTTGTCTAACCGCTATCCAAACAACCTTTTTGGCATGGTAGGACCTACAGGAACATAAGTTCCAGCCAGTGTAGCTCGTTGGGTCATTACGATATGCAAGCCCGACCACCACGTCAAGGTAACAGCTATCGGTCGGGAGACAACCGCCCGAATCAGTCTGCGCATTCGGATAGTATCCCAACCCTAGCAAAAACTATGAGATTTTGTGTATATCACCTACTGGTACCGTTATTGCACCAAATCTGTGTTTTAATAAATAATAAGACAAATTTGCTGAGACACAACACAATGTTCGATATAATTTCAAATGTCAAAATATGATAAAAGGATGTTTCTAATAATAATAATACTATTTAGAAACCAGTGATCGGGGCTAAAAAGCATTTATTTAATCTATTTGTATTAATTATTTCTTTCCCGGCTCATTAATGGCTATAGGATGAATCTCTTGTAGTTTTAATAAGAAACTGTGACTACAGGAGTCCACTATATCAGGGTGAAGTGGAAGTTCATCGATGTCATCTACTGGTGGTAACGCTAAGTCATGAATTGATAATACTTAGAGTTCACTAGTCATTTAATTCCAACCGAATGTCTGAATGGTCGACAACATGGACTTCTGGCCTGAATTTTCTGGGGTTAGCACCGCTGAAGGGCATCAGACTCGGACGAGAAAGCGGTCCAATGAATGCTCTCTAATTCCCAGTCATTCTCTAAATGATATTTGTTGATGATGTAAGCACTGAAATTAATGACAATTCCTTCAAAACCTAAAATCTAAATTTAACTATTTTAAAAAAAAAATATTTGGATGGATTCTTTTACTAACACCATAGACGTTAATAGTCGACCGGCCGAAAAACACAACCCACATTTCACTCTTACTATTACCTATAGGGCCAAGGGTGTTTGGAAAATCTAAGAAAACTTAGTTTATCTTGAGGGTGTGAATCCATGTTACCCAATGCAAAAATTAGAGACATTAACCACTAAACTATTCTCAGATTACAAATAGTATGAGTTCTGTACAAGATCAGAGGATACGTTATTCATATGAGATGGTAACGGGACATATGAATTTGCATATCAAGAGAAATAATGAGTTACGTAATCTAAAAACAATAGGTGATGAGCATCACTTAGAAACATACTATAGCGTGCCCCAAGTCTTTATCAACCTCATTCAACAGCTATATGACTATGCCATGTGCTAGGTGATCCACAACGGAGAACTCAGCGAGGTGTTCGCAGTGAATACAGAAGTAAAACAGGCTAGCTACCAATTATCACCGATGATATTCCTAGTTATAGTGGACCGAATTATGCGCCACCCTGCAGAAAGCGAGAAGAAATTAATACGTTAGACTAATAAGAAGACTCTAGAAGATCTGGATTTCTCAGATGAAATCAGTTTGAAAATCTTCTGCACTCCACATATAGAACAAAATTCGGATTTTCGACACCAATATTAAGTCATTTCTTCTATGTGGGTCAGAAACTTGGTCCATCACGAAAAGCATTTCCAACAGGCTAATTCACACTTCTATCAATCCCATGCCTTCACTGGCTCCATATTAAAGATCAAATGGCCAGAAAGCATTAGCAACCAGAAACTATGAGGATAAACCAACCAAGAACTGACTATAAGTTTCCAGACCGTAGGTGTTACGAACTTCCTGGAATAATTTGAGCGCCGAGTCAGATTGACTCATTATAAATTATTATTTAAATTAATCCCAGTGTGTTTATGAAGAAATCAAAACGAGATTTGTTCTGAACGTTTCGCTGTGTAAGCCAATTTATGTAAAAAAAATTTTGACTAAATAATTTGATGACTAATAAAACCCTAATAAATCTGCTGAAGAATCTGTGGCTTACACAGCGAAATGTTCAGAAAAATCTTGTTTTGATTTCTTCTTAAACACGCTGGGATTAATTTAAATAATTTATAATGAATCAAGAACTGACTACTTAACAAATCTTGCTAAGAAAATGGAGATGCACTAGGCCCACGCCACTGAGGACACCGTCAAATGACATCGCGCGCCAAGTCATCTGTCGAGTGGAACCAGAATTGGAAACGACGAATGGGTTGTCAGTGCGGTGGGTGACATGAAAGAGATCATGTGACAAGGTGATGCGATATTATGGGCAATCATAGGTCCGGCTGAAGATAACCGTAGATGGTGGGACAAAGTGGCGATGTGCTGTTGAAAACCAAGGGAACAATAATAACTGCTTAGAGATGGTTACCATTAGGAATTAAAAATGGCGAGAATATTGTTCAAATAGATATATATATATATGAGAAAAGGCGTTCAGCGAAGAGTTACTCTAATAGTGTTCAACAATTACTCTATAGTGATGAAAACATAAAAACGCAATGTTCAACTTGCATAGAACTCATAAAATTATGACTAAAAACATACTTCCAATTCAATACTCAAATATATGAACAAATAAAAGGAACACCAATGGGATCGCCCATATCAGGATTAATAGCTGAAGCTGTTATGCAAAGATTAGAATTAATAGCTCTACCTATAATTAAACCGAAAATCTGGGTACGTTACGTTGATGATATATTTGTAATAATTAAGAGAAATTATTTAGAATATACCCATAAATTAATTAACAACATATTTGAAGACATCAAATTCACAAGAGAAGAAGAATTAGATAACAAAATCCCATTTTTATATGTCTTAATCAGGAGAACCAACACAGGAAATTGAGAAACACAAGTATATAGAAAATCATCGCACACAGATCAAATACTCAACTATACTAGCAATAATCCAATTACTCACAAACGAAACTGTGTGCAGACATTGTTTAAAAGAGTTCAAACACATTGTGGCACTCCACAGTTGAAAAGAATGGAAGAAAAATACCTACAAACTGTCTTCAAAAAGAATAGTTACCCACAAAATTTCATCAAAAAGTGTTTAAAGCCGAATCAAAACACCAACAAGAAACCATCATCAAAGACCACAAGAAAATTCCTCCTACCATACATGAGAAATATCTCTCAAATAACAGCTAAAATACTGAAACCGTTTGATATAGATATAGCACACAAGCCAGTCAAATGGCTTAATTCGATATTATGCAAACGGTTACCAGGAGACGAAATTATATCACTCATGAAGAAATTTAAATCATTTAGCTTTATGCTAAATATTGCGTTGAAGATGTTGTCCAGAAGGACGACGAAAGCTCTGCAACTAAACCAATCAGCTCAGAGAACACTAATAATTGCAAATCATCCACCTGAGCTACAAATCTTCTCTATTATTTCAGAAGAGTTACTATTTTCAGCGGTATCATTCTCAAGCTGTACAATTGCATATATGTATGGTAAATTTTCTCAACAACAAAATGAATATTCCCGAAGATCTGTCATTAGAATTGCAAAATTTTAGATGGCAGATTACGTAATGTAGAAGGCCTTAATCAGGTGGAAAATAAAATAAGATTAGATAAGCAAGTTGAGTAACCTAGTTAACAGGGTTGAGTATGGCTCAACTAAAATTAAAAAAAGGAACAAAAGTCAAGTTAACAACAGTGGTAATAACTCCTTCTACATTACGTAATTTGTTATTTAAAACTTACAATTCTAATGACAAATCTTTGGGAATATTCATTTTGTTGTTGAGAAAATTTACCATACATGTATGTAGTATGAGAATGATATCGCCAGAAAGAGTAACTCTTCTCTGGACGCCTTTTATTCTTATATGATTCAATGAGAATATATGTAAATATCTATAAAGAATAATTTAAAGTTATCAATTTGAAAGGAAGAAGTGGGACGAAGGTGAAAACTGAATGGATATGGATTACACACCAAGTTACTGTACGAGTTATCAAAAAAAAGGAAAGTGTGATCACAGTAGTAAAAGGGATTGGATAAACCGCTTCTGTATACACAGTTCAGGGTTTTCCTTGTGAACAGCTTCTGCTATGGACAAAAGACGTTACTGGAAACGCTTCGAGTAACCCAGCCTTAACTTATGTATCACCTTGAAAGATTTTTCTATTAATACGGAATGATCTGTAAGAACAAGGTGTTCAAGAATTGAACTATTGGTTCATCTAATTCTTTTTTTTTTCGGTCAAAAGCGACTGAAAACAAACCGCCAGCTACACATAAATAAACAAGTACAACCAAATGAATCAGTTCTATTATTATGATAGTGCCTTTATGACAATGTCTGACAGTAACCCCAGTTCAAACACTTTCAATCGGAAAATCAATTGAACTCTTTGATTTAAACTAATTTGTCACTTACTACTAACATTTTATATAGTAGTAACTGTCTATTTGTCCACATTTTTATCCAACTAACCAACTTCACGTTGACTAGTTAGCTGAATACGCTTACTCAGGTATCTAATTCAAAATAATCCAACTAAAGTTTGTTTTATTCTGACACAGTCCTACTTAGGATCAGTGTAAGAATAAATACTTCTCAATTTTATATACTCCAACCCGGACAAGGTCAAAAAATACAATCAAAAATATGAAATATCTTAAGAATACTGAGATTATAAAGTCATGCATCTGACAGCTTTTATGTCATCATCTTGCACACAGTACCAGAAGACAGCGAACAAGTCCTAAAATATATTGGCCTACAGTTGTAAAATATTCACACCGGTGAATGAAGATCAGATTGATTCAGTTCAGAGAAAGGAAGGAATTTTTAGAACTATCAATTCACAAACCAAATTATATACACTGATTGGTTACTTGGATGTAACCAATGTCATATCTACAGCCCTTGGTGTTATTGTTGAATGAATTCTGTCTGTTAACTTGGCAATCTGGTCACCAGGCTAGGTGACTCAACTTCCTGAACAAAAGTTTCATGGTTGTTGTCATTCACCAGCAAAGAATACGCGTGCTGTGCCCCAATATTAACTATACTTGAAGACTTATGAAACTAATTCATGTATAAACATAATATACTCCTACAGAAACTGATTTTACCTATGCTTACAGAAAATTTGTCACTGTATAATTGAGCATTGATCTTTATATCGTTTCTTATGTCTTTTGCTCAGTTACGCACGCTTGCCCTTGTTTCGTGTACTTCGAAGTTCGATTTCGCTCGCAGTATATTTTCCAAAGTTTTCATTTGTGCTTTTATTTACAATGTTGTTCGCAATCTGTCGTATACACAGTTTAGCCCATCGTAGGCTGTGAGGACGTGGATGTAACATAGCATATTAATTGGAGTCATATATCGACAGCGGTACTTGTAACCTCGAAGGAATTGAGATTCGGACCTAAATCACCCAATGCAGCAGTCAGAGACATTACCATTGTGCTATTCAAGCTCATGAACCACCTCTTGAAGGACTGCGATGGACATATTTATCCGTTACTAGAGGGTAAACAATGTCAACCAGCATCAAGACCAAGAAGTAGAATGATGACATGGGCTACACATTAGTGAACGTAGTACACCGTATCCATTACAGTCTTACAGGAAGTCAATTGGTGTCACCACTGACTAACATATTAACTGATATGATTCGAATTCCCGAGAGATATGAGCACTCCTGAAGTCACAGACAAGCCTTGATATAGTTTCATCAGTGACTGACTGTATACAAGAAGTTTCCTGGAGTTCAATTTAGAAGTCGTAACCCGCGGAGTCCACTAACTCAGATTAAAGAACACTTACTTGCCTATGACATCGGTTGCCAGTTGCGCAATATATGTAGCGGACTGACAGAAACTGGAATTCATAGGCCAGTGGATTGCATCCCAGTGGTTGAATAGTCTAAAACATCGCCTTGGGACAAGAAGGTCATGAGTTGGAACCCCGGCGGGTGAGTACTACTGAAGAGTCCCTAACCAGGGCGAAACAACCGGACATTACTCCCTGGTTTTCAATAATTCCCTAACTCAAGTCAATTCGTAATCTGAAATATATTAATTAAAATCTAGTACTAACCTTCATACATGGTATAGGTTCAACAGTGACTTCCAGCAAAGAAGTTAATCGAGCCATCAGACCAGTACTGTTTGGTGGTGATAAAGCCGCTAGCATTGGTAATTGACTCAGAAACACGTGTAGTAGTTTTTGTGGTGTTGAAATCGCCATTAACTGTCCATCATCTGACCATTGAAGTTGACACTGGAATAAATTATTGCTGATATGCTTCGATTTATTTGTTAATTCATCATCATTTTCTTCTTCTAATTCAATGATGGCAGTTAGTTCACGAACGTTTTGTAGGTCATGAATTTTTACGCTTTATTGTAAAAAAGGAAATACAATGAATTAATGAATATAATAATTTATTATGATTCAGCTCTAATCAAAAATTGACTTCAAATAAGTGCTCGCTAGTTGTTCATTACAGGATGAATTTACTTGAGGTTCTAGTGGGTAGTCATTGGTAGTAGGGTCTACAATGATGAGCTTGAGGACGAATACTCGCCAATGACGTTGGCTGGTGGTTGCTATATATACCATAAAATGGCCGAATTTAAAATTCATAGACCATTAGACTGCATCCAAGTGGTTGAGTGGCAAATGGGCTTGTCTCATAACCTGAAGGTTATGGTTACGATCCACGGAAAAGTTGCAGGTGACGGTCAGTTCAGGGGTCGTTTAAAGTGATCAGCCCATTGTTTTCTTTGCTTCTCTTCTGTAGTAATTAGGTTCCCTTCACTATCTTTCATTGGTTTCATCGGTGTTGGTCTCCTCCCTGATACTGACGTCGTCATCTGGCATAGTATCCTGATGCCCCTCTTACCTGCAGCCCTTTCTGCTTCAGTCACCGGTGTGTCGTCTGTGCACTGAAGTTCGTGTAGCGACTGGAATGATTTTCCAGCCTTCCCTACTTTTCTTGGTTTAGGACTGGCTGGTAAACTAGTGAATTAATAGACTAGGCGGGGTTTGAAGGGAGCCCAGGCGTCGGTGGCACAGCGGTTAGGACTCTCGCCGACCATGCACGTGGTCCGAGGTTCAATCCCCCGCCGACGCACACCTGATATCTATGGTCGGCCTGCTAAATTTGGGCTACCGATATCACATGCTGAAAATTACATACTTGTACCAAAATACTGTGTGGAATCAAGCTATAATAAAATATATATATATATGTATATAACTGAACATCTTGCTACCAAACAATACTAGTACATCAGAGTTATAATTTATTTCTTCGAAAAAGGAAAAACCTTGACTTACCAACGATCACCTACAGTTGCACATCGATTTAAAACTGTCGACACTGAAATATCGTGTAAACCATCTTTATGATCACGAATTTGATAGATTTCCTTCAGAAAAAAGAAGACATTGTAAAAAAATACTTTAAAGAAAAGCTGACGCCTACCTTTCCTATTTCACTCGACTGTGTTGATACCACAACAAAATAACCATTTGAAAAACCGACCATTATATAACCATCTCCAAACCACTGGTAGGCGATTAAATCACCATATGCTTGACGAAAGGCTAACTCAAGTGGATTATCCATATCGTCAAGATTTAATAAGAAAAGTTGCTTCTTTCCAACAATACAACTGACCTGAATAAAGAGAAGAACAAATAGTAAACAGGTCAGTAATGACTAGATAAAAAATATATATACTGATTTAGACGCAAATATCAAGGTGTAGTTTTGCGCAAAAGTGCATCGGTTCAATTCCTCACACACCGCATAGCACACACACACACAAAGGAAGAGAAGTAACAGGAATGAATACTTACATGGAGAACAATGAGAATTCAGTGGATCTGGAGGACTCCAAATCGTGAATGCATCCGCACCATTGAGAAAGGTTTTGAGTCATGCCACCAACAGTCTCCAACCACTGGTTCTTAGTATCTCAAAGAACCCAACTACGTGGCTTAAACCGACAACAGAGCACTTCGTGGAGTGATGTCAGGTTTTGATTTGACCACTCATTACTTTTATCCAACGTAATCCCATGTCAGCTAACATTATTCGATGGCATTTGTAGCACGTCTCCTAGCCATTTGAACTGATGCAACTTCACAGCCTCATTGACTGACACTCCCTCACTATATAATACCTACTCCAAACACCATCACTATAAAAGACAGAATGCAAACATATATGGTCAAAGACGGCTGGTCTTTTCACTCCCGACGGCCATGTATCATAGCCTTAGAGGACTGCTGCACATTAAACAAGCTCTTTGATCAATATTCGGATATCACATCTATGCTAAAGATGGTGCGGTTTGAAAAATGCCATATAAATATTTTATGTCCAGGCTGCAATTTTGTCGGCAATTAGTCCGTGTTTGACAAAACTTACCAAATATTTCATTCCCTAAAAGCGTTATACTCTCGGCAAATTGAATGAGGAAAGGAATGCTAAAAAATAAAAAGCCTAATAAAAATATGACTGATGACATATAAAACGAACAGATTGGATGAATCAATTACAAAACGACACTCACAAATCCATGTTATTCAGCTCCACAGTTAATTATAACAAATCGTTCGTGTGCCAGGATATAGGCTACACTTATTTGAGGGACGATGATAATATTCAGTTGTGCGTCGGTGGCACGGTGGTTATGACTCTCTTCGACCATGCACATGGTCCGGGGTTCGATCCCTTGCCGACGCACACCTGATATCTATAGTCGGCCTACAAAATTTGGGCTACCGATATCACATGCTGAAAATTCCATACGTGTACCAAAAAATACGGTGTGGAATCACGCTGCAATCGAAAAAGTAGCTGGAGTGATATTCAAAACCATGATCCATTTTTACTGAAAACTGAGTGTTTAAGACAATGAGTCGAATCTCCACTTCAGCTCCATAAGGATTCAGCCACGGAAGGAGACTAGAAGAGAAGTTTGAACTCTTTATGGAATTCCCTTGGGGATCAAGTAACATTTCACTGGTGAGTGTCAATTAACTCATAATACGAAAATTTTCGTCCCACTATTTAACCAACTCAACTGTTTCGCCATCATAATCCTTCATTTTTAGTCTTAAAAGTTGAAAACACACGTCTCGAAATTATCATTGTTTTCATATTTTTTCGTTGTTGTTGAATGCCTAGATCAATGAGCTAAGGCTCCGCATAATTTCTGATTACCCCATTTAACCGAATTCTCCCTTAGAAGTCTTAAGTACAAAACTGTTCGACTATTAGTTGGATGGTTTTAGAATCACCTTGACCACTTAGTGAGGACTGGCTCAATTAAGGAGATGTGTCATGGTTAATATTTAGACTCAGACAGAACAGGTACATACATGGTAGTTTTAAAGTTATGTACAGTTACAGTCAAATAGTAAACGAGATAAAAAAAAGTGTTTTAGTAAGTAGGTAGATGGCCATCTTTGAAGAACTCTGCATTATCTGTCAAAGTTTAAGTTGCAATATTAGTTTTAAAGTAATAAAATAATGGCTACTGAACAAAGAGTACTCTTTTCGATAACTTCACCATCAGGCCCTAAAATTATATATATACTTTATGGTGGATGAATGAATTAGTGTTATGAACAACATTAGTGTTGTTTAAATAACATCGAATCAAAAACAATATCAATAGATTACAGCTAAATACCATCAACATAAAAATAAGCTGAGTGTCAGAAAAATTAGGAAAGATAATATTACAAATTCATGAACTTATAGTCTCTACTGAAGGCCGGCCAGGGCAGTAGTAGGGGCTGGACTTGCTTCTTTTGAACACAGAGTACTGGTTGTTTGAGGCGAATTGCAATAGCCTCTGCTGTTTGGAGCATGCGGTGCTTCGACGATTTTGGCAAATTATTAGGCACCCGGTGGATTATAGACAAGGGTTCTTCCACGCTGGCTTTGTGACCGGTTTGCACCAGATGGTCCAATATCGAACTGTTAATGGTTTTCACTACACCTTTACTTAGCCATAGTGGGAGATGTTCTCGAGCGTACGAAAAATCAAGTTCCTAGAGCAACGGTCAATATAACTAGCTCCACAAGCGCAGTTGAATTGGTAGATACAATTTGAAGTGGCCAGCTAGTCTAGGTACTTCATCTTTCAGTCGAGGTAGCACCATCGGTCGTGTAGAAACAATAATACGTGTAGTTCGCCAGCATTAAAAGTTCTTTGAACTGATTTTCTTAATTTCCTGATAATTATCTCACTTGGTATATTGCCCTTGAATTGTAGTCGTGTATAAAGTGGCTTCTTGTTTACAGATAGTGATAAAATAAGAATGTTTAAATATGCGTCAGATCATTGAGTTACACTTATCACCGTGTAGTAATTGAATAAACCAGTGAGAGTTATGAGTTTAAGCTAGCAAAAGCCCATCAAAATTAGTGATGAAATAAACTTGTACTCCCATGTAGCTGGACATCATTCGGGGCGATTTTGACTGATTCACCTTTCTAAGCTAAGTCAAATCAGACACAATACTAATGAGACCAACTTCAAACAGGCTAAACAACCGTCAGGTGTTCCGATCACCTCAGTATGACTAGGAAGCAATCCTGGTTGACAAAAGCGGCTTCCAACTACTCACAACAATCATCTGTATTTACTACAAACTCAAAATACAACAAAATGTGACTGAATTTATCAAGAAAATTTATTAGGTCACTTGTGAAATAAATTTAAATTGACGAAAATGCCCAGAGTAGCGATTACAGCTTTAAAATTATGCTGTGAAACAAAGACAAAGCAGCACTAATGGCTTTCTTATACACTATATAATATGTACATAGCAGTCCATAACTTTTTGAATAAATTAAATGTCAAAATATCTTTTTTTTCAGTGTATCCTATTGCGATGTTTTTGTATTAAATAACAAGCTTTTGGTCGTAGATGGCATTTCATACAAAATATTCGAACAGATGGAGAAAAAGATTAATAGTCAGAGACTACTAATAACAGAAGCAAGAAGGATGTGATGTCAAATGCAGAATTATCAGTATTCTTGAGTTTAAACAACAATTCCACGTGCATTTTCTCTATCAGTAGCTCCATAAACATGTCTAACACAAGTGAAAGGTTTTATTTTACCATAAGTGCGTCGGTGGCACAGTGGTTAGGACTCTCGCCGACCATGCACATGGTCCGGGGTTCGATCCCCTGCTGACGTACACATGATATCTATGGTCGGCCTGAAAAATTTGGGCTACCGATATCACATGCTGAAAATTCCATACCTGTACCAAAAAATACGGTGTGGAATCAAGCTGTAATAAAAAAATAAGTGTATCGGCGGCACAGCAGCAGAATGCTCGCCAACCACGCATGAGGTTTGGGGTTTGATCCACGGCGGACGCACTCCTTTACCTCGCTAAGGCAGTAATAGAACTGTCAAAGAGAGAAGGTTAGACATGAGGCTAGCAAGCCAATCCTGTAAAAATTATCACCACTGCTACAGAAACTTCAAGCCTTTAGCTTGAAGCCCTATGTTCCACTGGGAACGTAAAGAAATAAAAGAAGTTAACAGTAAAAGACTTCACAATATTTAAGAAAAACCCGCCTAAATAATCAAAATTTTGCATACCACATTAAGCAAGCGAAGTTTGAACAGTAAATAAATGTTAAGTGATGTGGTTCAAAGTGTTCTTTGAACACCACTTAATTACTTACTGTTGATATAAGGGAGATTGACCAGTGATTCAAAATAAAGAAAACGAAGCGACTTAAAAACAAATCTAAAAGAGACATGGTGCACTGATATACCTGGGTTACTAGCAAAGGTGTTGGGTTATACTAACTAGGTTACTGATGCCATCTGACACAGTCAGACTACAAAATTTTCTACTGATAATTACGTTTCAGAGTGTTGCGAAGAAAATTTTACTTGTTTTCAGTGCAGAAGACATTAATTGCAGAACATGAATGCACATATATGTAGATTTCTGTGCTAACTGAAAACTAACACCATGACCAAATTTAGTAGTAGATTTTACACATTATATACAAATCTTCAGTCTGAATAGCCGGCACAAACTTGTTTGATTGGTGGAAAAATAAATGCCATTTCGAATAGTCCAAACTTACTGTGTTTTCTTGAGTTTTAGAGGAATCCTGAACTTTCATTTGACCGAATTCCAAATTAGATGGTTGATCGTGTATTACTACGTGCTTTATTAAGTCACCATCGACAGAATTCACTGTAATGCTTTTGTCCTCACTCGCTAATGCCAAAATGTTCTTTCTATTCCATACTGCGCAAGTTATTTTTCTGGTATGCTTCCCAAGAAGCGATATTTTCCTACGAATAAATACATTTCAAAAGAAACCTACTTTAGGGTTTTGTGATTATATATAACCAGATTACCCTTATTTGTCCCAATGACTAAACGACTGCCCACTTTAGACCATGAAATAACGCTTAGGTGGTCTCTGCAAATAACATGTTAAAAATCGTGAACTAACTTCATTCCAGTGTGCAGCTGGCTAATTTTGAAAGAAATAGAGTCCCACATTGTAGCAGATGACGTTTTATCATCAATAATTGCAAGGTTGTCACCGTCGGCGTCCCAGGCCATTGAGACAGCTTCACTAAATCACAAGATAAGGTATATATTCCAACTACCCTGGTAGAGGGAGATCCAGCTTTTTTACACCATGACGGTCGAATATGTCAACTGACTGATTAAAACTGAAGCAATTGTAATATTTTAAATCAACAAAATAACTTACCCAAACGCTGCAACATATGTAGATCTGCAGTTTTGTAACTGAAAGCATCTACGATTATCACTGTGCAAATTTATATTGGTCGTAAACAGTTTCTAATACTCTTCAGTTTAATTTGACATATGCATACCTTCATGAGTTTTGAATTTCCGCTAAAATAAGCGTCCCTAGATTGCAACAGTTCAATTTCAAATTTTAATCTGTAGAGGAAGTTTATCGAACTTTCACATCGTACCTATGGAGGTAATGTTATCCTAATAAGTCAAGCTAAAAAATCAAAGAAGCATGAGTGGCTTGATTTTAGTCACTTTTAAATGTGTAGTCTTCGTCAAAGTGTGAAAATAAAATCCCAGCAGATGAAAAGCGAATAATGAATTGGATAGTGCTAGTGGGATCGCTCAAAACCCACTCAGGTCGAAAAATCCAGAGTCATTTTGGTGACTAGCAATAGAAGAAAGACTTAGATACACCCCTAACCAAATATTAGGCAGCTTAATCCCAAGAAGACCGAAGATTGACCAGTGTAGAAGACTTTCCCAGAACAGGCCGGATTTGTGCATGGAATGGACTGCAGTACTAAAAGTCATTACCGAACATTGTCCAAGATGACAGTCGAATGGATACCTCTACTTCATGGACTATAAAAAGGCCTTCATCAGTGCTACACATGAAGATGTCAAGGCCAGAGTCGCATAGGGGAAGCAAAGCAAGCTTCTATCATTCTGAAACCAGTGTTGGGACATACATTGTATACCAAAAATGACAATGTCCGAATTTTCGCCACCAACTTCCCCGCCTCTTTATTATTGTTATTATGCTCACTAGGTGTTTTAGAGACTTAGCGTAGGCCTCACCAAACGCTTTTCCAATGGGCTGCAGACTTCCACCAACACTTGACGTTGAAAATGAGCTGCCCCACTAGAAATTACTAGTGAAATTAAACCCTTTCACTGCAGAGATTCAGCGCAAAAACTATGCGAGCGGAGATGAACGTAGATCAAATATACGCAGAAGAAAACATTTCGTAACATTACACGGTAGGTTCTCAAGTGGAAACAGATTAAGAAGTGACAAGTTAGGCGTTGGTCTGGAGGTAATACTGGAGGGATCACGTGAGAAGTAGACGAGGGCTTACGCACAATTGTGGAGAGATTTGAAAGTGATGACAGAGCACTAACTGCTATAGAAACGTGCTACTGAAGCCCTATATTCCTTTTGAAACTCAAGGAACGAATAACAGTAGTGGTAGTAATACTAATAAGTCACCAAAATACATAATCGGAGGCCCACTTCCGCTGGGAAACCAGCGTCCCAGAGTGCGAATATTTCACGCGCAGAGGCAAACGATCCCATGAAATCAGTATTCTCGGAGTACTTATGTAGGGCCTGCACAATGAGGTATGCTTTGACTACTCCTATAGCTGATATCAACAACTACCGCCCCATCAACATCACGTCTGTAGTTTCACGTGTAATGGAAAAGATAGTAAAGACTCAAATCATTCAGTACTTACTGTCAAATGACCTACTATCCCCATCCCAATACGGTTTCTTAAGTAGAAGGTCGTGTATTACTTGCCACTTAGATTATTTTGACTACATTACACAATGCATTGATAATGGGCATTCGGTAACAACATTATTTCTCGACGTTAGCAAGGCCTTCAATAAAGTCCCACATATCAGACTCATAACAAAACTCCAATCCTACGGAATAACCGGAAAACTTCTCAAATGGGTAAATTCTTTTCTCACAGAAAGAGAGCAGTCAGTCAAAATCAACCACCAGCTGTCTTCATCAAAGCCGATAACTAGTGGTGTAATACAGGGTAGCGTTCTTGGTCCTATTCTATTCCTAATGACATAGTCTCTGTAATCAATTATGGCAAGCCATACCTCTTTGCAGATGATCTCAAGATAGTATTGATTATGGGTACGATGATATGAGCGTCGAAAGCAAAATCCAACATGACTTAAACAATCTAGGCGATTGGAGCGAAAAGTGGCAACTGACTTTCAACCCAGACAAGTGCGGTATAGCCCACCTGGGACGCTGGAAACCGAGAATGTGCCTATATATGTACGGTAAGCTCCTCTCGAAAGTGAACGCTGTCACAGATCTCGGGATAACATACTCAGATCTAACCTTTTCCGATCATGCAAATAAGGTCGTATCCGACTGTAAATGACTAATTGGCTTTGTGCTGCGTAACTTCCAAACCCAAGAAGCAAGATTAGCTATATATAGAACATGTATCCACCCCAACCTTGAATATTGTGGTCTCCTGTATAGTAACCTAACGTCTGCAGACCGAAAAAAATCGAAAGTGTTCAGAGATTCCTAACGACATTAATTTTGTCAAATACGCTGACGATCTGTCTGTATCTTTGCCTATCAAATGTCAAAGCGACTGCTCTAAACTTAATGGCTTTCTGTCAGAAATCAGCCAGTGGTCCAAGGTAAATGGTCTTACTCTAAACCCCTCCAAATGCCAAACAGTCAATTTCACCTTCAGGCATAAATCCGACCTAAACAAACTGTTTGGCTCTCACGAGGTGTGCAACATAGACGGCACTGAAATAGAAACTAAATCGGAAATTAAATACCTAGGTGTCATTTTATCTGCTGATCTCTCCTGGTCGTCTCATATCTTAGCAATTTCTAAGAAAATATTCCGTCTTACCTTCTACATTAAGAAGTTAAAGCATTCTGGTATTACCCAACCCTTACTCCTACAATTCGTCAATTCTCGCAACCTGCCTATTATTCTCTATTGTTCCCCCTTAGTTTTTCCCGGGCTACTGGAAAAAGACTGTACCTTGTAACGCAAGATGTTAAAGGTCGTCAGCAGGGTAAGCAACGTGCCACTTAACCGGCTTGTTAATATTCTGGTTGACAGGCACATGGACTCATGTGAAAAATGGGCCAAATCCATTTTATCTAACTCACACCACCCTCTTCACTCACAACTCTCCCCTTGCATCTCATCAGGTAAAACCAGAAGCCAATATAGGAAACTATATGCTCGCACCAGCAAGTACAAAAACTCAACCATACCCTACTTAGCTCGTGTTCTGTGTGATAAAGAAAGCATTAGGCGTGAGACCTATAACTTATTAAATAGTCATTAGTACAACTGGATCTCATCTTTCCAACCCACTTCATCAATAGGTACAACATTTCCTTTCTTTCTGTTCCTTTTCTCTCTCTTCTTTTTCCGTTATGTGCTGCTTTGTCTCTTTCTCTCGCTTACGCCAGTTAATAAGACAGCTCCCACTTTTCTAACACCTTCAAACACTGTTTCAGCTTTACCTTTGCTACTGAACATGCCAATGTATTGTTGTAATAATGAACTGTGGTTTCCTCAATTTATGTAGAATTCTATTTATTGATAATGTACTAACTGGATGCAATACTGTAGTAAAAATGCTGAGAATTCCATTCTGTATCACAAGTACTGTTTTGGAATAAAGCAAATTATTATTATTATTATTAAACGAAACGCATAATCGATTTTGACCAACCAGTGGAATATGTTGACAGGTGTATGCGTCTGAATTTAGAACCTCTGTGGTTAAGAAGAGTGAAGTGCAACTTATTTCTACTATTCAAAGTCATAAGAAAACACTGTTATAGTAACTCATCCATAACGTGGGAAAATATTAAATCATATCAGCTGCGAAACCACGAATACCTTGTCAAGGTGGCTACCCACAGAAAATCCATTAGGGCAAACTTTTTCACCATTAAATATTGCACTCTTTGGAACCAACTTCCATGTGAAATTAGGTGTTGTGAAAACCCCGATGGGTTCAAACGGAGCCTAGAAAGACACATTAACATGTCCACCCTAGCTTGTCTAAAAGACCACAAATGTTGGTAAAATGGTAAGTGAAAGCCGGTCCAGTCTTTAGCTCAGTCAGTTACATATAACTCGACTCTATTACTTACGCAGCGAACGTTTAACTAATTTGCTGATTTTCCTTTCTGTATAGACTTCAATAAGTTATGTTAATATAAGTACCTCTAGAAACAATTATATTAGCAACCACACCTTGTAATATTTTACATATGTATATACAGTTAATAATACAATGCTATTTTTTGTCTGAATGACTTTACTCAGCCAATAACCACCTTTTCTCATACACCTTCCTAAAACGTATAATCTTTATAATATTTCGCAGTATTTTTAACATTATATAAGTTGAAGGGTTACTTTGCAATATCTAATGCGCACCGTATGAAAATCGGTCATGAAAATTTAGCATAACTAGCTCTGTTAACCGACTGTTTTCTTCAGGATCATTACACATAATTTTATCACTAATTGTTCCACTACACTTTTTACTCTGCTAAATAGAGTACAACTTAGTTGCTGCAATATTAGCTACTTCTATACTTCATCCTTCTTAAGCGCAATTTCCTAGACGTCTGCTACAAATATATTATTAATATTAGTAGTACTATTTTTGAGTTGAAATGACTATCTTCAGTCAACAGTTACCCATTTTCATATAATTTTCTAAAAATTTCATATTGTTGAAATTATGTAGTATTTTTCCATTATGTAACTGATGAGTCACTTTGCAATGTGTAACGCAGACCATATAAAATCGGTAGTGAAAATTTAGCATAACAAGTTCTGCTAACCAGTTGCCTTACTCAGGACCACTTTACAGAACTTTATCACTAATTGTTCCACTACTCATATCACTCTGCTAAATAGAATACAACTTAGTTGCTCTAATATTAGCTATTTTTATACTTCATAACTCTTAAGAGAAACCTAATTTCTTAGTCTTTTGTAGTAATCCACTTGTTCACTAGTATGATGATAATACTGCTAACTATGTCCTCTGGTACTATTGTGCCATGTGACCTAATGGGAAGCACTTGTCAGGAAAGCTGTTAATGTGCAGCATACTGTATGATTGAGACGGAGTCAAAGCAATCCAATATTACAACTGCGGTCATTGTAAAAGGTCTCACAGCTTAATGTCAAAAAAGGAGGGAGAGTGGTGCATGCTGATCAGCAGATTTGGTATTGGTCACAAATGTGAATCGCTCCGATCTGTAGGACAGCAACATGCATTATTTTGGCAGCTCGAGAATTAAACATGAGTTTAGATACTGAATGTAT